TAAATTAAATGTGTTATCCAAATGTATCTCTCCTGGGTATAAAGTTCCTATTTCATCCAAGTACATAAAACTACTGTGAAAATATTGAATGAGCCACCGAGGATATGAATAGCTTCAAAACACTGGGCAGCAAATGTGATTACCATAGATTTTTCTGGATCTTGAATCAGGATGGGACTGACCTTCTAAATTAATTATGAAATATTTAAAGATAGGAATGTATAATTTTATCAAGCCAAAGTAGTATGTTGAAAGCTTGATTTAAAGAGTGAAATAACTGTGAATTTAGGGACTTATTTGACCCTTCATTATTGTTCCCCTAATGCTGATTTTTAATTCTCACCAGTGACTAGAAGTTGCACATTTAGTTCAATGACTAAATAATCTCAGCCCTTAGAGGAAGAGAGAGAGAGAGAGAGAGAGAGAGAGAGAGAGAGAGAGAGAGAGAGAGGAGGAGGAGGAGGAAAGAGAGGAGACGGGTGTTTAGGAGCTCACTTGGGCTCAGACTCATTTGGTTTGTAACAGAGCTATACCATTTACTTATCTTGTGACCTTGGACAGTTTAATCTCCTGTGTCTCAGCTGACTCATCTTCAGAGAATATAGCATTGACCTCTTGGGTTGCTATAAGCACAGAGCCTGGTCCATAGTAAATATGCAAATAGAAGGTGTTATATTTATTACCAAGAACAATAAAAATGATTGTTGTTTTATGCTACTATGTGATTTGTTGCATAGCAATAGATAACGGAAACCACTGACTGAGTGTAATTCTAATCTATTGTTATGGTAGAGGTGACTCTAGAAAGGGGAGAGGTTGATTTCTCTAAGGAGGGTTGTTGTTTTTTTAAGCAAAACCCCAATTTCCTTGTATTCTGATACTTTAGCTTTTTCTATACTCAAGGATGACACTTTTAACCAGTTGGCACACTTGTTTTATAATCCTTTAAGAATCTTCTATGAAAATGCCTTAATCAACTTGGTGCAATGAATCGTGAATTGCTACTCATATGTCCCCTATATCACTGTTTAACATAATGTGGGTATGGATGGAGCCCATTCATGTTTCTCATCACCTGTAGCCAAACATGAAAATTTAAGATGGATAACTATTTAAGTAAACATGCCCCGTACCTCAAGAGATCAAAACACCAGTAGATAGATATTTTTGGCTTATAAAGGAAAGCTTTGTTGGAAATGACGTCTACTAAATATTGATTGACTGACTCTTTCTTACTCCACTTGTACAAACTAGATGGCCCATAATCAGGAGGAGGGATAGGAAAAGACCTGATTATGGGAGAAGGAGGGTAGATTGTAGTGGTTAACCTGGAAAGTCACTCCTATTCAGTGTTTTTATGAGATATGATCATTGAGCATCAATCTCTTTCCTTCTTGCATATTCCATTCATAATATTTTATTTGGTAAGATTAGTGACCTTTGTATTTATACAGCTTTTGACTAGGAGAGCGATATCAGCTGGACAATTGTTTTGGCAAATCTAATTTACCAATAGGAATATCCAGGGTGCTATTCTCATTCAGTTCACATGTATTGGTCAACAGCCAACTCATAAATCTGATGACAGTTTTTGCTTTAATTGATAAAATTTGTTCATACAAAATAACTTAGGTGTATACACATGTGTATATACATGTGTGTATGAATATATGCATATATACATAAATTGTATAGGCTTGTATAATATCAAAATGTTTGCTGCAACATTAATATACAAAGAGGACCATGTTACTACAATTGATGACTGTGTAATTTTATTTACCTCTTGGGCATCAATTGAGCTATTCATTCTACAGCAAATGTCCTTTGATTAATATCATGGCAGGATATGTTTGACAATAATTTCAAATTATTAGATTTTATTACATATTTAAAGTCTACAATTAACTGAGATTGTATGTATCTGATTTTAGCTTAAAGAGATAAATATATTGATATTTTTTCCAAGGACTATATCCTTTATGCTGCATAATTACCATGCACTATATAAAAACTATATACCTTTTTGGATGGTCTAGAACCGTGGTTGGCAAACCACGGCTCTTTGGCCCCTTGAGCGTAACTCTTCCACAAAATAACACTTGCGGGTGCACACGTACAGTGTGATTGAAACTTCGTGGCCCATGTGCAGCAGTCGGTATTTTGTGGAAGAGCCGATATTTTGTGGAAGAGCCACGCTCAAGGGCCCAAAGAGCCACATGTGGCTCGCGAGCCGCGGTTTGCCGAGCCGCAGTTTGCCGACCACTGGTCTAGAATATGTTGTGATGCTCAGTGCTTATGTTTATGCTAAACAGGGTTAGAGTCATGAATGTAGAGATTAATATGTTTCATATATATTTGGAATGTAACTCAGGCATATATACAGATTGAATCTTCTCTAGTTGAAAGAGTTTAATAGTTAAGGATTGGTTCCTTAGTGGTGAGCATTGTTATGTATGGTGTTTATGGGTGTGGCTGTGCATGATCTGAAAAATCATGGAAAGGGAAATATTTCCAGGGGAAACTTAATTTCTTAAACATTTTTTGAAAATGTGTTTTATTTTTTCACTTTTACATGAAACTAAAATGTATATCCTGTCTTTGCACATGTAGAATTATTCAAGAACAACAATAAAAACTATCATGAAAATACAGTGATATTTAAATGTGCTCAGTGGAACATGAACCTAGTCAGGTTTTCATGATTTAACAGTTCTAACCTCAAAGACTCTGGTTAGCTTGCATTTTTTAGACTGATGAGTTTATCCCAGCTAGTGAGGAAAATGGTTAAAGTGTACCAGCTGCAAATTGGTACAAAGCACTAAAAGGGACATTAGCTTCTAATCAGATTCTAACAGTTCATTAAACCTGCCTTTCTAGGATGCTCTTTGTCTTTTCCCCTCCTTTGCAAAGCATCATCCCTTTTCCCCTGGATAGGATCTCCTTCCGGGTAGGAAGGAATGTCAACTCATCCTTCATTGTCTACCCACCAAACAGCCTAGCAGTGGTCGGCACACTCATTAGTCAACAAAGCCAAATATCAACAATACAACGATTGAAATTTCTTTTGAGAGCCAAATTTTTTAAACTTAAACTGTAGGTAGGTACATTGTTATTAACTTAATTAGGGTGCTCCTAAGGCTTAGGACAAGTAACACGCACGGGGCCAAAGAGCCGCATGTGGCTCCAGAGCCGAAGTTTGCCGACCATGGGCTAGGGGATGCTTTGCTACTGTAGATTCCTGGCTGCTGAGCAAGGCAGGGGGAGTTGAGGGCTGGTCTTTGCTGGAAGGCTTTCCTGAGACTGGATGGTGGCAAGCCAGGCTGGCTGCTTCCAACCACAGAAGCAAGTGACACACTAGAATGTGAGATCCATGCCTGATATTTAAACAACTCACCAGCCTCCATTAATGGATTTTAAGCTAGGAACAAATTAACTGAGCTTGCCAGTAATACCAAAGTTCCTTCTGCTCTAAGCTATCTATTAGGATGTAAAATCCCTAAAAATATGGACCAGTTAAAAGCAAAGATTAAAAAACAGTATTCTGCCTATTTTAATAATACTGTACATTTCTAAGAAAAGAACATAGCGGCCATTTATTTTCTTTTTATTAGTTAATAGACTAGGTACTGTGGAATTTTTTTAAAATGTTCTTCAGTTAACTCTAGGATAAATTTGCTTTTCCTTCTTGTTGATTTTTCATAGCAAATATTTGGGATAAGAGATCCCATACATTTTATTTCTTAGAATATTTTCCTTAAACAAAAAGAGGAGTCAAGAAATAGGAGAAATAATTAGAGTTCACTATACTGTGCTCTATTGGTATTATTTGGTGATAAAAACATTTAATTTTTTGATTTATTGAAGTGGATGGTGTTCTTATTAACTACATGATATAAAAGCAACTACTATTGAAAGACTAAAAATCTAAGGTTTAGAAATGCTATTAACCTTTATTACCAGGTTGGAAAAATATTTATAAACAGTTTATAAATATTTATAAACTTTTTCTTTTAATAACACCATTTTAGTGTCATATGATTACATTTTATAATTGAGCAAAGGGATCATTCTAAAAACTCAAATTTAGGCATTTCACTTTTTTAGTTTAGTCAGTATACAAGGGTAAAGCTGGCATTCTAAACATGTTTTAAAACATGAGCTTGATTTTGGCCTTAAGCAAGTACTGATATGAGGCTTTCTGACTACCTTCATAGGTTATTGACTTCAGAAAATTCCCAAAGCAGTGAAAATGACTAGAAAATAACCTTGATTTAATCTTTTTATAAATAGAGTTTGAAATTCTATTGAGTACAATAGAAATAAGGTTTCCCTTTCAAGAGGTGGCTAATTGAGCCTAACATATAGTGTAACGAAAACCAGATTATTCTTTAGTTATGACTTCAGATTAAACATGCACTCTTATCCAAGACTTATTATGTTAGTTGTTTTTAAAGATGTTTGGGGTTGTTGATATGTTAAAATTTTCATTTGATAAGAATTGCTATAATACCCAAATTCAATGTGTCTAGAACTATATTATTTTGTTTTTAATAATCTGAGACAATAATTTGAGACTATATAAACTATTTTTATCTATTTTCTCTTCTATGGATTTTTGTATGCAGTACAAGCTCCAGAAGTAATGAAGAAAGAATCTTGCCTTCTATTTCCTTCACTTTTGCAAAAGTGTGATGAATTGCCCCAGCTCACTATAAATTAATGTAAGGTTTCCTTACGCCGGTTTATTATAGTCTGACCTCCAACCTTGAGGTCAGAGAATCAGACTGATTAATTCAACTTCTTGGTCATTATTTCAAAGGAAAGTTCAGAATGAGCAGATAATTGGTTGTGCTGATATTCTCATTTAATTATGCTTCATTGTTAAAAAATTAGGTTAACGGTACTAAATGTACTACAATGAAGGCGGGCTCTAACAGATGTCCTCTTTTGAATGCGTTAAAGCTGAATTTCCCTCTCTCTCTCTTTTTGATTCTCAGAATATCAACACCTCTGAAAACAGAATGTTAATGCTTGATGGGATGCCGGCAGTCAGAGTCAAAACAGAGCTTTTGGAATCTGAACAAGGGGTAAGCAGAAGTTCCTGACATCACCACCACCTCTGCTCTTTAGAACAGTGGCAGTCATTTCCAGAGCATCCTGAGGTTGGCAGGATTTTTCTTGTGTCTAAGCTTTATTCTCTTGCATAAAATCACCTGAGACTATCCTTGATTCTCACCCATTTGCAACCTCAAATATTACTAATCTGGAAAAGATACTTCCTGAAATTACAAAGTTTTAGTGACCTTCTAAGAACCATATGGCTTTATTTAAATTGGTGAGTGTTTTGAAAAGCTAATAAAAATCCAAAGCGAAGAGGAAGTATTAAAAAATAGAAAGGGAATATAATCTCAGTGTCAAAATAGCTTGGTTCTTTCTTGTTAGGAAATTACAGCGTGGGGGTATGGGACTGTTACTGTTTGCTGGGTGGACTTCCCTTTTGACATTTGTATTTATCCTGTTTCATGCCATGAGAAGAGAGGACAGTGGATAAAATTGAGATCACTGAGTTTGAAAAGAGCACAAAAGCAAAAGAAAGCTTATTTAGCAGTGTATAGCCAAATTGATGAATTAATTTATGGCTACTAAAAATATAAAGGTTTAAGAGCACAGCTAGATTTCCTAAAAAGGATGTTGGAGACTTTAAAATTGTTAACATTTATATCTTCACCATTTAAAATTACAATAAGGGCGGTGTGATCACTTGCAGCGCCACTGACCACGTTTTGTATGTAAGCGAACGAGCATTTCTCCTGTATCTGAGTGCGCGCTACCCTCCTATCTTATGAAACCACCACCGCTGTGGCAGTACAGATGCCTGAAAAAACAACAACACATAAATCCTTAATCTTATTAGTGTATCACTTATTCAAAAAATCAAAACTAAACATTTGCATTTTTTAAACAATCCAAATAGAATTTTAATATGAATAAAATCTCACTGTTATAAAAATCAGCATGTATAAGTTCATCTGGGATCACATTCAAGAGGTTGGAACACTTTCGTACCAAAAGGATTTCTAATGAGGACATCTGAAGGCATGGATCTGGAATCCAGATTCTGGATGGTAGCACTTACAGGATTTCTCCAGGATCTTCCTCATTCCTGAGCAATATGTGGCAGGGTGCGTGACATCTCTACAAACTCCCCTTCTTCGGTGTAAGCCTGTGTCTGAAACACACCACTGCTATGGAGAGGACATCATTTCACCTTTATGTTTGGTGTTGATTGTCATAGCTCTGAAATGAACTCTGCGGACTATGTTAACCCCAAATACAACTCCACAGTTCTGTGCATGACATTATGTGATGGATCATATAGTTCAACTTAGGCAGTAGATTATCATGGCAGCCAAGAGAACGTAGCAGTTATTAATATTACTAGAGGCCCGGTGCATGAAATTCGTGCATGGGAAGGGTATCCCTCAGCCCAGCCTGCACCGTCTCCCAATCTGGGACATCCCTCTTACAATCTGGGACTACTAGCTCCTGACCCAGGGGTGGGAAAACTTTTTGACTCGAGGGCCACAGTGGGTTCCCAGTTGCCTGATTGCACCCCTAACTACTTGCTCCCATGTGCCAGCCTGATCGCCCGTAACTGCCTCTGCCTCGGCTCCCGCCACCATGGCTTTGTCATGAAGGAAGCCGACGTCTGGAAGATGTCCAATCGACCTGGTCTAATTAGCATATTACCCTTTTATTAGTATAGATTTGTTCAGTATAGGTGAACCTTCAGAGCAAGCTATGTTTTTACCTGGGTTTTCTTTCCTGACTCATCAAATTAAACTCTATAGCCTCCAAACTAAGTAGTTCTTACCTTTTTTGTTTAACCTAACCACAGGAAGATTTGTTTTATATTTGGAGTTGAGGTTTTGTTTTGTTTTTTAATCTAAATGCATTAGCTTCAGCTTAATGGAATATGTTTCTGCAAAACCCATATTTAAGTTTACCTAGTGATATTGACCGTGACATCTTGTTCAGAGAAGATAGTCTTTTTACCACTGCAGATAAAAAAGTGAAAATGGTATATTTCACAATGTTTTTCTGTTTGTTTTGAGGTTTTTTTAAAAGAGGAAGGTGAAGCTATTTTCTTTTCAATTATCTTTCAAGCCTTTCATTCTATCAAGGGAAAGGCTCCACTTTTTTCTTTTCTTTTTTTTTAAAGAGAGAGAAAGGGAGAGTAACAGAGAGTTAGAAACATCAGTGAGAGAGAAATATGGATTAGCTGCCTCCTGCCCGCCCCCTACTTGAGATCCTGGCTGCAACATGGGCATGTTGCTCAGGAATTGAACCAGTGATCTTTCAGTGCATGGGACAACACTCAACCAACTGAGCCACACCAGCCAGGGCCACAATGTTGTTTTTGTATTTCATAATACCTGTATTCTTCAACTGAATACTAGTAAATCCATTCAGGTCACACATGTTGGTAGAAGGCAAAAAAAAAATCACAGAAAATACTACCTGGGCCACTAGTGAAAGCCAGGATAGTATATTAGTGTCACCAGTCCTGGGATTCTTTCATGATATCTAAATACTACTCTCCCTAAAGTTTTAGTTTTCAGTGGTAAAGAAAGGTTTGTATGAAACATTTAGGTACACAAAAAACAATAGCCAATATTCCAAGAGTTTTTATAGTGTGAGTAAGACCCTCATGCCACATTTATAAGAAGTATTTTTCTGTCCTCAAAGAAGGAAGAGAAAAATTGTAGGTTCATAGGTTGTACTTAATGCTTGTTTATTAAAATCAAATTTCCTCCTTGTGAATGGAGCTGATATTTCTATTTTAACCCTAATTTAGATTCTATATTTTAGGGGGAAGTAGAGGCTTGATTTTATTCTTTTTTTAAAAAATATATTTTATTGATTTTTTACAGAGAGGAAGGGAGAGAGATAGAGAGTTAGAAACATCGATGAGATAGAGACATCGATCAGCTGCCTCCTGCACATCTCCCACTGGGGATGTGCCCGCAACCCAGGTACATGCTCTTGACCGGAATCGAACCCGGGACCATTGAGTCCGCAGGCCGACGCTCTATCCACTGAGCCAAACCGGTTTCGGCGATTTTATACTTTTTCTTAAATTGTTGTGTACTTTTAAAAAATGTATAACAGATATTTCATTCTGTTTTACATTAAAGCTTCAGGAAAAGCAGCCAGCAGTGTTTAACAAAAGGTATTAAGACATACTTACAGAATTCAGTAATTCATACTTAGTCATTTATAATACTTTAAATCAACTCTTCTGGAGGTTGGAGATAAAATCTGGAATTTTAGTAGAAGTTCATTTTGGTCACTTTACTAGAGTTTTCCATTGTTGATAAAGGGATGGATAACATACTATATAATTTCAGATTCTCTGAACTATTTTTAGATAAGGAGTGCTAGACTTCTGAAGTTTTTTTTTATTTCAGTCTCACAGGACTCCTTCCTCATTTACTGTTAAGGCTGGTTGAAATTTGCTTCTTCATAAGAAAATGTAAACAGTGGTGTGATTAATCACATCTGCGATTATCATTTTGGCAAAAGATGAGACATGTTAATTACAATGAACAACAAGTTGTAGAAATGCATCTGTGGGTCACAACAATGCATGAGAAAGCCTGAAGTTGGTATATTGGCTGGATTCTGAAATGATTCCGGGAAACCTAGTTTTGGGACTCTGTTTATAGGACATGGGCATTAACCTCCAGTCTTTTGGGGAAGAAAAGTTATTCTGCTTGTCAGGCGACAAGCAGCATTGTAGAGATTTGTGCCTTTACATGGACCTCATGTTTCCATGTACCATGAAGTCATGTTTGTTCTCTCCTTCATGCTATAAATAGTCCCGTAGGTCTCCTGTTGTCAGCTGGTCTCTACGTGTCCCCCGCTCCTCCAGGACCTTGTGTGCATGTTTTAGAGCTTAGAGAAAGCCTGAAATGGGCCTAGGTTAGCCACTCTGCTTGTGTATGTGGTCATGTTTCTTCAATCAGGTTGTAAGCGCTGAAAGGGCAAGAACTATTTCTTATATTTTTTCTGGTAGTTCCTGGCAGATGGTCAGTGCTCAGTAGATACTTGTGTTATTCAACTTTTCCAGGCATTACAACTGGCATGATGAAAACTATGGAAGCAGTCAAAACTAGTGGTGAACCTGCTCCTACTAACTACTAGGCTTATTGTGAACATAAAAATAAAAACAAGAAATATTTGAAATACACATTCTTATTGGTGGCACGGTCTTCATCTTGCACCCATGGGACCTGGATAGATGATATGCTGGCATATTGAGCCCAGTTCTGTGTCCTGTCCTTCTGTTTGACATTCTGATTCTTGCATCCTTAGTTGTGTGATATCTAAGGAGAACATTGCAGTCTCCTGAAATGCGACTTCAGTTTTCCTCAGGCTTGTTGGTAATACAGTCAGTATGTGCTGTTAAGCCATCCGTGGGAAGGGCGTGCACTCGGTGATACACTTCAGGGCCACAGCAAGGAGTGTCAGAATGACTCTGTGACCTTGGTGCTTGTGTCCTGCTGTTACAAGAACTTCCCGAGTGCTGTCAGCCCTTGGATGTTCTGACATGCTATTAAGAAAGGACTGAGGCAGGTGGAAGAGTCCTGGAACTATTACACACAGAGCAAAGGCAGTGTGCAGAGAAAGGGCACTGCCCTGTGACTTGAAACGTGATTCTATCCTGGCCCTGCAGTTTACAGGCTTGAATGACTTTGGGAAGTTACTTCCTATTTCCAGGCCTCCAGGTCCTTCTGTGTGCAGGGAGAGGAGGCCTTCCCAGGTTCAGTCTGGCATTCTCTGATTCTGGTGCGAGGAAGGATGTCTAATTATGGGTTTAACGATTCTGCTGCAATGAAGCTACCTGTGTGTGGAAGTGGAAATGCATAGACTCTAAAGTGAGACGGGCCTGAGCTCCGATGCCTGGTCAGCAGAGTGCTAGCGGGGCGGTCACAGTGGGGCTTTGTCTGCTTATTCTCCTCGCCTGTGAACTGCCCAGCCTCCCAAAAGCCTCTGCATATGACGGTGCTGAGTAAATGTCCTCTTTTCGAAGAAAAACAGGAATAGAAAGGGCTCCGTTGCTTCCGTTTCCATTGCTGCAGTTTTCATAAGGCATTTAGTAAAGATTTTAGCATCTGTGCTAGTCCATAATTAAAAACTAGACTTAAGGAAAATCTCAAGTTAGAGTTATGTCTTATTTGAATTTTTATTTAAGTATATCTGGAGATATGCTTTACATTCTGATTAGATTTAAGTTGTGAAAGACAAAATACTGAAGCCAGAAATCGATTATTAAATGGACATAAACATGACTTAAGATTTTGGTGTGAAAATGGCATTTGGCCACAAATTTTTAAAAAGGAGTTTTGAGTTCATACCCTTTAAGCATGCTTATTGATATGTTTACAGAAGAAAAGGTTAAATGTCTGGGACTTGCTGCAGAATAAATGGAGGGAAGAATGGATGGGGACAGAAACAAGACTGGTCATGATTTCACCATTATCAAAGCTGGGTGATGGGTACAAGGCGACTCGTTTAAGTGTTTTGCCTAATATTTTGTATAAGTTTGAAATTCATTCTGTAACATGTTTAAAAAAAGAGAAGAGCTCTCTGGCCTTAGCTCCCGCGCTAGAGAGAAACATGTATCGTTTCCGATCACAGCTCTTCACCGGGATTTCTGCAGCCACCAGCGCCCGCTCTCACCCACCCCGCTCCTCGCCTCTGTTAGCTGAAGCCTCTCCGCTCAGCCTGAGCTCCAAGTCTGCGCGGGCACCGGGCTCCCACGATGCCGAAGAAGAAGAAGCGGAACACTGCCCACCGCGGCGGCGGCGGTGGCGGCTCAGGGGCAGCTGCAGCCACGGAGACCACGGCAGGTGGCCAGCATCGAAATATTCAACCTTTCAGTGACGAGGATGCATCGATCGAAACCATGAGCCACTGCAGTGGTTACAGCGATCCTTCCAGCTTTGCTGAAGACGGACCAGAAGTTCTGGATGAAGAAGGGGCGCAAGAAGACTGGGAGTACAAGCTGAAGGGCTTCATGGACCTGACCCTGGATAAGAGCGCCGAGACCAGGCAGGCGGCCCTCGAGGGCCTGCGGAGCGCCCTGGCTTGCAAGCTGCTCTCCGAGTTCCTCCTGGAAAGAAGGATGACTCTGACCGACAGCATGGAGCGCTGCCTGAAGAAAGGGAAGAGCGACGAGCAGCGCGCAGCCGCAGCCCTGGCGTCTGTCCTCTGTGTTCAGCTGGGCCCCGGGATCGGAAGTGAAGAGGTTCTGAAGACCCTGGGACCGATCCTGAAGAAAATCATTTGCGACGGAACAGCTAGCATCCAGGCGCGGCAAACATGTGCCACGTGCTTTGGCATTTGCTGTTTCGTGGCCACGGAGGACATCACTGAGCTGTACGCGGCCCTGGACTGCCTGGAGGGCCTCTCCTCCAAGGCCGGCCTCAAGGAGAAGGACGCCCTGGTCCTCGGCAGCGGCCCCAGCAGCGGGCTCCCCGGCAGCGCGCTCCTGGCCTGGGAGCTGCTGCTCACCCTCTGCCCCGCCAGCGAGCTGAGGAAGCGGCTGGAGACGCATTTCCATAAGCTCCCGAGCCTCCTGTCTTCGCGGCAAACATGTGCCACGTGCTTTGGCATTTGCTGTTTCGTGGCCACGGAGGACATCACTGAGCTGTACGCGGCCCTGGACTGCCTGGAGGGCCAGCTCCCGAGCCTCCTGTCTTCGGACGGACGACGTGAACTTGAGGATCGCGGCCGGGGAGACGCTGGCGCTGCTGTTGGAACTGGCCCGGGGCATGGAGAGCAACTTCCTTTACGAGGACATGGAGTCCCTGACCGAGCTGCTGAGGGCCCTGGCGACTGACGGCAGTAAGCACCGGGCCAAAGGGGACGAGCGGAAGCAGCGGTCGGTGTTCAGGGACGTGGTGCGGGCCGTGGAGGATCGGGATTTTCCGACGGAAACGGTGAAGTTTGGTCCTGAGCGCATGCACATCTACTGCTGGGTCAAGAAGCACCCCTACGACACGTTCAGGGAGGTCCTGGGCTCCGCCTGCAGTACCACCTCCGGCGAACGAATCTCTTCGCCCGTGTTCGAACTGGGGCCGCCGGTGATGCTCGCTGCTGCAACACCGAAAACGATGAAGATCTCCCGCTTCGAAAGGCGTTTATGTAATTCCGCAGCCTTCAAAGCCCGAACAAAAGCTCGGAGCAAATGTCGCGACAAGAGAGCAGATGTGGGCGAGTTCTTCTAGATTCACACGCGAAGGCGACTTCCTGGTCCCCAGTTCCTTCTTTTGTAATTTCTCATGTATTTAAACTCTGTAGACAGTTTTTATCGTGGGTCACCCTAGATAGCTTTTGTAGCAGGGGTTCGATTACTTATAATTTAATGTATAGATTGCAACTGTGAGTTCTGATTATGGACTTTTCTCTGTAACTATCAGTAAACCATGAAGAAGGTGAAAAAAAAAGTATCTGTTTTTAAAAAAATCATAGTTGCAGAGTTGTCATGGGGAGACATGAAAGAAACCTTCCTCAGTCACCCTCACTGTTTTCCAAGGCCCAAGGAATCTGCCATAGGTGGGAGCCAACCTGAGCCCCCCCACCGACCAGAGCAGGGCAGGAGCAGACGCAGGTATACCTACTGTGCTCCTGTGATCCTTGGGCCTTGGGCCTGTGGATGGAGAGTGGTGGCAGTAGTGGGACAGGGAAGGAGGGAGAGAAGGGAGGTGGGAGGGAAAGGGGAGCGATAGAGATAGAGATAGAGATAGAGATAGAGATAGAGATAGAGAGATTGGTTGTTTTGCAGATTTTAAGTGCTCCCAACAGTCAGTAATTATGTGGTAAAGGACCCTTCTGTGTTCATTCAGGGAGAGAGCCCATTGTCTCTGCCACAGCCACATAGCTGGGAAGGGTAGAGGTATGGTAGTAAACTGGTATAGGTTCACTTGTATTCTTCATGGCTTACTAGCAGAAAATACCGGTCCTAGTAAGACCAGAGGTCCCTCTGAGCTCCCTAACTTTAGCGCAGCGGTTCTCAACCTGTGGGTTGCGACCCCTTTGGGGGTCGATCAACCCTTTCACCAGGGTCACCTTAGACCATCGGAAAACACATATAATTGCATATTGTTTTTGTGATTAATCACTATGCTTTAATTATGTTCAATGTGTAACAGTGAAATTGGGGGTCACCACAACATAAGGAACTGTATTAAAGGGTTGCGGCATTAGGAAGGTTGAGAACCACTGTTTTAGTGGTAGGATCTTTTCCCCTGAGGCAGCTTAGAATAACTTCTGTAGGACATTCCTAACAAGGTGATGAGGCCATTTCTATATTACAAAGAACTGACTGGCACCTTTAAGCCAACTCTATTGTAACTTCCTTAAGAGCAGAGCCTGTTCTTTATGTTTCTCCTTTTTCCTCATCATCCCAGTGCGAGGAGTTCATAGATAGGGAGGGCTCAATAAATAGCAATTGACTCAGATGCCGTTTATTGTGACAGCCAGTGTCACATTGTAGAAATGAGAGGATTTTGAGATAGGTGTTATTTTGGAAAAGACCCCAATCTTTAGACTTTATTAAAAAATAGAGATAGGTTTTGTTGACGAAACTAGACATGTGCTATAAAATGCTTGTTTAAGGCACTGGCATGAAAATTCAGGAGCTTCAGAGGAAAAAGCCCAATAACACACCTAACTTTTTCTGTTCCTCAGTAAGCCATTATGTTTAATTTAGCAAAGATTTAATATGCATCTGTGTGTAAAAGCTTGGTATGAGAGAGTTCCATTAATGATTTTATCAGAGAAGAAGAAACGACATTATAAAAATGCCACTTGCATTACCCTTTAACAGAACCTCATTATTACCCCCCCTACTGAGGAGGAGCCAACATAGCTAGTAAATTGGTAGAATTATCTTATGTGTATGAATTTGCTTATCATTTAATATTATCTGATGGCCCACTGCTGGAGATCTTTTGATCTGTGGTGAAATGTTTGCTTGTCACTACCTGGCTTCAAAGAACAACATATGCAGAATCTGTGTTATCACTAATATGAGAAAACCATTTTTTTAAAGAAAGAAAAAAATCTGTACTTACAAAACCCATATTTTAGGGAAGAGATGGCCTCTACAACAGAAGCAGAGTTGAACTGATTTTAATAATGTCAGAATGGCCAATAAATGTATTAATAGAATGAATTGAAAATCAATGAGCTGTGATAGTAATTACAGATAGTACCCAAGGGAAATATAGCAGACAGACAAATCCTTTCCCTCGGGGCCTGCCCTGGGCAAAGCGCTGAAGTCGATAATTCTGTCCTCCTTCTTTCCCATTAGTAATGCACTTTCTTCTTCAACTTCATTCTCCTCCTCCCACTATTCAGACACCTGACCCTCTGTGCTGTAATGGTTTAAGGTGCCAACAGATGAGCAGTCCTAACTGCAGTCTCATTAATTGAGAATATAAAATGCTATTCTTTCCAAGAGAAAATGCAAAAATTTGCATTTTCACAGGGTCAATGCTTTTTAAAAAGGAACACTTCTTAAAGAAATTTTATATGCCGAGTAATTTGGGAATTTTGATTTGGGGAAAATTAACCTTTCCAGGATTTCAGCTTATGCAGGATCATGTTCTCCTTCATTTACTAGGCTTGGCAGTAGAATAAAAAAAAAAAGAAAGAAAAATCTGGACCGTGAGGCATGTATTTTCTCATTTTCTCTCTATCAAGATGTATTTTCCTGTGCTGATATTTGCATAGTGACTCACAGTTTATAAAGTACCTCACAAAAGTATCATATTTAACCCCTGGAGGACTTTTGCTTCTGACCAAAAGGGATTAGCTGCTGTGGGAATTGACCAACCATCATATACAACTAGAAAACCAGGCAAAATATATGGAATGGTTTTTTTGTTTGTTTGTTTGTGGTTTTTGTTGTTGTTGTTTTTACATAGCACTTAACAGGCAGTATGGCCTGTGATCCTTAGGAATAGGGCACCAAAGAAGGTGAATGCTGTGATTGCTTCAGGCTACTGCTTGAAGGCAGAGCAGGGAGGGAGAAGTGAGACAGGGCTAACAGTCACACTGAGTGCAGTAGCAGGGATTCGAATTTGGAGAGGTCAAGGCGACTCATTTTTAGTTTACAAGAGGGCTCTGGAAATTGTTAAGTGGTCCCCTTAAGGGTTTGGCGGTGTAATGATCTGCCTGTGTGTGTAGGAAAGCAAAGAAAGAAGAAAGAATCCAATAGGCTGAACAATTCTTAGAGCTCACATAAAGTTCACACAAACCATGATGGAGAAACCTCGTCTTACCTGGGGCATTTGGTGGAGCTCTCAGAAAGTCAGAGGTTAGTAATGGGGCTGACTTAGTCCCATAATAGTTTGGTCTTGCCCTTGCCATGATAAGCCTGCAAAGCAAGCCTGAAAGGATCGAACTGATCTGAAAATTATATAACTGTTCCAGAACAAAATCCAGCACTCTAACAGAAGACCATGAGATCTAGCCCTCAGTAATGTAAAAGTCACAATGTCGGCTAATTGATCAAAATTGATCAGATTGATTAGACAGAAAAAACAAACAAACAAACAAAATGAATAGAGACTTAGTGCCTTATATCTCCAGTTGTCTAATACATGTAGAGTTGGACGCTTAGGAATATTGGGAGGAGTCGGAAAACTTTTGAATAAATCATGGCTGGACATTATCCAAAGGTGACAAAAATGATCAATCCACAAATCCATGATGTTTAAGGAGCCCCAAGCAGAAGAAACCATATTAAGCACATAATACTGACATTGCTAGAAACAAGTACTGAAAAGTGGACTTAAAAGCAGCCTGGGGAGAAGGGGGGATATATCTGACATGGTGAGGAACAAAAATCAGACTTGGTATCAGACACAATTCAGGACAGAACTTCCTTAGGTAGGAGAAAAAGGACACTAGATAAAAATTTGCATCTTCCCAGGAAATGAAGAGCACTCAGAATGGTCAATAATCTGGAAACATATAAAAACATTTTTTAAAACTGCTCAAAGCAAACATAATAACTTGTATTATGGAACTTATAACATATATTGAATGAAATGAGCAACAACAGAAGCAGAGACAGGAGAATGGATGAAGGATACTATTGTATATGCAAAGTGGTATGGTATTAATTGAAGATAGACTGTGTTAAGTTAAAGGTGCAGATTATAAAACCTAGAGCAACCACACACAGAAATTACACAACCAGATATAGTTAATAAACTAATGGAAGATGAAATGGAAAAATTTTAAAAAAATACTCAATTTTACCTAAAGGAAGGAAGGAAAAATGAACATAGATAGGAGAAATAGAAAACATAGCAAGATGGCACATTTAAACACAATATGTTGATAATTATGTGAAATGCAAATGGTTTAAGCACTTTAATTAAAAGTCGGATTGTCAGACTGAAAATAAAAGCAAGACCAAACTCTATGCTATAAGCATCTCCCATTAAATAGAACGATACAGATAGGTTAAAAGCGAACAGATAGAATTAAGAGTAGTCAAAATCATGAAACTAAAAATAGAATGGTAGTTGTTAGGGGTTGAGTGGAGGGGGAAATGGGAAGTTCTTTGATGGATATAGAGTTTCAGTTTTGCAAGATGAAAAAGTTCTAGAAACTATGAATATAGTCAACACTACTGAACTATGCATGTAAAATGGTTAAGAGGGTAAATTTTATGATTATGTGTTCATCAGGGCCAATCTGTGGAGTGACCAGCAGGGTGATCAGGGGCCCCCACTCGCACCTGCCTTGGCCTGGCGCCTCCCGCTCGCTGGCCCTGTCCCCCACCACCGGTCGCCTCCCTCTAGGGGATGACCTGCATGGCGATCAAGGGCCCCTGCTCACACCTACCTTGGCTGGCCTGGTGCTGCCTGCTCGCTGGCCCTGCCCCGCCACCGCCACCGCCACCGCTGAGAACGGGGCCTGCAGGCTGGGGATAGCTCCTGCATTGAGCGTCTGCCCCCTGGTGGTCAGTGTGCATCATAGCAACAGGTTGTTCTACCAGTTGTTCTCCTCTTCGGTCGATTTGCATATTAGGGTTTATATAGATACTCCAATAAATGCAAATTTACCGGCAGAGGTTCAGAAGTCATTGCCCACATTAGCCTGCAGTGATAGCTCTTAAAATCTCTCCTTTATCTTGATTGCATAGGATTAAAAAATATTTTACCACATAAGGTATGTTTGTTTAATATAAAATGATGCTTTCAATTATTTAAAATTGGTAAAAATGTGTAATATTCTTTGGTTGTTACACAGACAAAAATTTATTTTACTGTGTGTCTATCAATTTCAGAAATCAACAAGTTGAGCAGAGTTGACAATCACATATTAGATTTACCTTCTAGAAAACTTCTCTGTAATAGTATTTTGAAAATGCAGAATTTCATAAATATGTAACAACATAATGATGCCAACAATGGGTGTGTTTTTT